GCAATACGCATGTGTCGATTATGTTGATGTGTGTGATGACAAACTAGACAAGCTTATCTATGACAAGCCTTCCAATATAATCAAGTCTAAAGAAATAATCATAAAAAAGTATACAAAACTAATACTATTTAAACATCAATGAAGTTTTTAAATATTTTTTTATTATTTATTATAATAATTTTTATTGTACTAGTTACTATATATACAAGATATAATTAAAATAAGATAACAAACTTTAGAGGAGCGAGAATATTACATAATAATAAATATTACTTTTTATTTTTCATTAATAATATATATTTTATATTAGTAACAGTGGGTTTGACGAACATATGTTGATGTCAAATTTTTTTCATGTTTGGTTTTGCTCCTCAAAGTTTGTTATCTTATTTTAATTCATCCTGTACATCCTGTATATAATTATTGTTCATTACAGTATTTGTTTTTGGTTATGTGCATCATTATTTTTATTTTATTTCGCAAGATTATTATTACATATTACTACATATTATTATATATAATTTATAATATATTGCAATTATATTATAATATAACTTAAAGAATAAATTGTTATAATCAAATTTTCAAATGCCTTCCACCTATTTTAAATCTTTCTACTTTCAACTTAGGCTGAGTTCCACTTGGTGATCGCAACGCTTGCGAACATTATCTATCTTTCTTTAACTTTCGATGAAAAACAAAGATAAAATGATTCCACAAGCGTTGCGATCGCGAAGTGGAACGTACCTTTAAGCAGTTATTCATTCGCGCAAGCGCATTGACCACTGATATGTATACATGGATAGCCGATGTCTTTGTTCTTGCACAAAAATTCCGTCTTCGGAAAATCCGCCATATTAGAAAGAAATTTCACGTGGGAACTTTAAACATATAATGTCTTATATATATATATCTTGTATTATATTTATTATTAATTAAATGCCATAATTATTTCACTTATTTGTTTTATTTATAAAATTTTATTCAAATTTATGTTGAATTAAAATTAAAATTTTAATAAATTTATTGTAAATATTTTAATATATGTATAATACAATTTTATTTAAAGTTACTCAAGTCAGTATAAAATTTATAAAAATGATACATATAAAAACTGATGCTTAAAAAAATATACGAATGCATAAGTGCATTAGAATTGATTAATAAAATAATTGCAACATTTATTTTATTATGTACGCAAACATAACCTATCTGTAACATACAATATTAATTCAAAAAAATTGTATTATATATTATATAGACTTGTGAAATGTACGGTTTATTGTTTTATTTTCCGTAGCATTACAAAAACAACAACGCCTCATTTTGACGACAACAATATATATTATTTTTATATAAACAATCAATTCAGCTGCACTACTCACTGCTCGAGAATCACTGTTCATCACTGTTAATGCGCTGCGTGAAAATTTCCATCTAAGATGGCTGACGTTCAATTACAGACGCGATAGCAGCATTGAGTAAAAAGAAACAGGAGGGAGCGTTTGGTCGTAAAAGTGGCAGTCGGAGAGTGACTATATAAAGTGGTCGCTCAAGATGGCCGCTCAAGGGCGCCAATATTGAATGACTTGTTATGTTTAATTAGGAAATAATGTACAATTAAAAGAAAATTACTATAATATGCAACAATAATACCAAATTTTAATGGCGTTTTTCATTAATTGCACTCGTGCAGTATTTCCATAAGAGCAATGTTAAAATCTAAAATCTAAATTTATATTAAATCCTTCGTCCTTACAAAAATTTATCCATGCATTTCTTTGATCCGGATTTTTCGGAAACCTGTTTGTGAGGAAAATTATTTAGTAATTATTGTGAATCTACAATTTCACAATACTATACATATGATTATAATTTTCAAAATAAAAATCTCATTATTGTTGATAATACTAACCGATGAAACGTTATTCCACGATTTCGAGCTGCTGCTGTTATGCCACAAGCTCTACAGTATACCATTTTGATCGTTTATTTCCATACACTGTTGCATAAAAGACTATACACTGCATATTAATGCGTACGGCGTACGGTATGCCGCTTGCCGCTATGCTCGAGCATTCCCTCTCACTTTCAAAAAGTGGTCGCTCAAGATGGCTGCCATGACGTACATCCGTCCGCGGATTTACCTAGTCCTGGCTAGTATATGCTCCCTCCTGTTTCTTTTTACTCAATGGCAGCGCTCATCAGCTATCCATGTATACATATCAGTGGCATTGACCGATTTCGTACAGACAAGGATAGATAGATGTAGGGGACACTTTTGTTATGTATATTTAGATAGGTTATGCCCCTTCCAGTATATATGTTCTAAGCTTATTAGAGGGTCTCTACTCTCCAGGTCCTTCGTGACTATAACTGTTCAGTGAGCGCTCAAGGAGCAGGGGATATTAAGTTAGGCATCAGACTCACGAGCAGTGTTGTTAGACGGGACGTTTTTTCTCGCGCATGCGCAGCGCTGCAGCTATTAGCGTTTTCGATTATACAGGATTTGAACGACCCAGGGTTGGTTAATGACGTCATTGCAACCTCTCCACCAATGAAAGACTTGCATTTATAGTAAAATAGTGATTGATCAACCCTGGGTCGTTCAAATCCTGTATAATCGAAAACGCTATATGAATCCAGCGGTGTATACGGCTTATAGTGTTGGGTGCTGGCGCGAAAAGTTAGACGTTTGACAGGCTATAGGAGAAAGTTAGGTGAGTACATGTAAAAAATAATAATATTTATATCATATATATATTTATATGTATTTTTTGTTACGCGAAATATGGATAGTTCAAAAGGAGCCATTAAAAAGACGCATATTAAAAATTTTCAAAATTCTTGGTTAGCTGACGATTTATTTAAAGGATGGCTGGCTCCTCATCCTACGGAAAATAAGGCAATTTGTAACTTGTGCAATATTACCATTAGATGCTGTAAATCAGATTTAATACGACATTCACAAAGGGCTAAACATATTAAAAATTGTGACAGTAATTCTCAAATAAGTCAAAGCCAAAGCCAACATTCCAAAAATTCTCATATTGAAAACGTTAAACGAGCCAAAATTAAATTAGCATTTTTTATTCTGAACATAACGTTGCTCTTTATACCGCAGATCACTTAGTTCCTTTGTTAAAAGACATTTGTATAGATTCTTCAATCGTGCAAGATCTTTCACTGGCTCGATCAAAGTGCACCAATATTATTAAAGAAGTTCTTGCAAAGCGGGAAAATAATTCTGCCAAATAAAATATTTTATTGTTATTAAAATGTTATTAACAATTATTTAAACATCCTTTCCTTTTTTAGCTTATTTTTATTAATATTATTAATTATTTTATTATTATAAAAATAAACATAATATTTACATGCGTTTAATTTATTATTATTTTATTACTTTTTATCACTTTTTAACGATAAACAAAATTTTCTAATAATTTTTTAATAGAAGGGTCTACAAGTGCCCTTTTTTTCCTCAATTAGTACACCGTTGAGGCCGATTCTCAAGTGCGTTCGTGAAAAAAAGCGTCCCGTCTAGCAACACTGCTCACGAGAAGGCACTGAAGACTATATACGCAAAAATACATTACGCTCTTATGAGACCTTCCACTCTATTCTATCCTCTTTGATCATACGATGCGACGTAATGGAGACGGTAGAGTTGGCAGAAGATGACTCTTTACGGACACAATTTACTGTCGACGATTTAGATATAGAGATATTACCGCTGATTTATGAAATTATTCGTAGGTATGTATTTTTCAAGCAAAAAAGTTTTGTTTCGATATTCACGTTTGAACGAATTGTTAACGGACAAATGATCAATACATAACCTGAAATTGAATTGAAAAATTGAAGAAAAAATTTATTGATTTTATGAATTTTATTCATTTACTACTAATAATAAAGTATATAAATATTACCCTGTCAATACATTTTTTTAACAGTTGTAACTTAAATAATAAACTTGTAGAAACTTTCAAAACTCACACAATCTGATTTTATATATATATAGTGATCAAATATATTTAATACAATTTATTCTTTGGTATAATATAAAACAATGCTCTGTTGCCATTTTTAGTGTTGAAAAAGATCCCCATGATACCACACAAAAGGCGAAAGAATCACAAGATACTAGTCATAAGATTTTAGAATTACAGAAGAAATTAGATTCTGCAAGATCACAGGTCAGTATATCATACAATTTCATTATGTTATATAATTCTTGTCTAAAAATACATTCAAATATTCTTATATAAGTTTTTTAAAATAATATTATGCTTTTTAGATTAAAAGATTACCAGGAATAGAGTACAGCAAAGAAGAACAATTACAGAAACTCGAAACTTTACGCAAGCAATTAAGATTGAAACGTGAGCTTCTGTTAAAATATCGTAATACATGTACATTTGAGATACCAAAAGTATAAATACGTACACCTATTTGTGAAAATATAAAAAAAATAATTTTCTACATTTTTCAAAAATGCGTTTTTTAAGAGCTTTTTTCCAGTACTTATTAAATAATGAACAATTGATTAATAGACTAGCAGAATCTAAACCAATTAGACAAAGTGCACAATTTGTAGTATATATACTAATTAGGACAGGTATGATTCATGGAACACATCGCACTCTTTCTAGTCCACGAGAATTTGTTAAACAATTGAAAGATATTACTGAACAATTAAAACGACAGTTAGAAAAAGCAAAAGATGAATTTAAGAGAAATTCACCTAAATAATCTATATAGATTGATTTTTTAGTATCTCTGCCAAATTTTATGTATATAGTTCCTATACTAGACTATAACAGAAGAATCCTTAATAATGTATGTAAAAAAGAGAAATATTAATAAAATAATAATAATGTAATAATATAAGAAAACATTCTATTTAATTAAATAAGATTTTTATTTTCTCAACGTATTTATTAAGATGCCTAATTGCATTAAACTGGATTACTATCCTATGATCACGGACGTGTTCCACTGCGTTTTCTTTGTAAAACATTTTTGTTAAAAAGAATATTTTTAATACGATTAATAATACGATTGATAATAAATCGAGACATAAGTGGTTGTTTATTAATTTACAACTATGACTGAAATATAATTATACATATTCTTTCGATGTTTTTTTACTTTAAGATAGAAAAAATTTTAAATCTGATTTAAATAAAATATCAAGTTACATAGTAGATCTTTATCAGTGTAATATGATGTGTTCCTTAGAATCTAGAAACTCAATAAAGAAATGAAATTAACAATCAAGCAAATTTAAAGGAAGAAAGCCTTGGGCAATAATCTTTCGGATTGGCAATATGGCATGTGTTAATTTATTTCTGATCACAATACATTGAATAAAATTATATTTAAATTAATTGCTCAATTATTGTGTAATGACGAATTAAAAAAATATATATTCTGAAACAAGTAAATTATTTATTAAGGAATAGATATGTCTAACACACAGTAAGAAATTTTTTTCTTATATTTGGAATATTATACATCTCTGTTTAAGATTCCAGTGTAAAATGTATTGCATTGAAAATGGACAAAGGTGACAGAATTCATATATTCTTCTTTATAGAAATCTTATACAATATGGATTTAAATGTAGATATATATTGTTACAATAAAGAATATAGCATCCATCATATTTCATATATTACTATTAAATTCAGAAGACAAAAAAAAGATCTGTTCACGCTCTCTTGTATGAATCCATTGCATATGGTTTATACCTTCGAAACTGAGGTACATGTGCATTAGGGTGAAATGAAAAAAGTGAATTTTGAAATATTATTTTACAACTTAGGGAAAAGTTGCCTCTCATATGCAGTAAACTATGTACAAAATTTGAGCGAAATCGGACAATATCTTTCGTTTCAAAACGGTCAGTTTTATCTATAGTATAAAAATAGAACGAAACAAAAATTTTAAAATATCGTTTTGCAACTTCGGGAAAAGTTGCCTCTCATATGCAGTAATCTCGCCCCAAAACGGTCAATTTTATATTACACACACGCGCGCGTGCACATACACAACTGTTTTGTGGCGAGAGTGTTGTCCGATTTCGCTCAAATTTTGCACGTAGTTTACTGCATACGAGAGACAACTTTTCTCTAAGTTGTAAAACGATATCTCAAAATTCATTTTTTTCGTTCCACTCTAATGTGCATATGCTCCGTATAATGCTTTTTTAATCTGTATATAACACTGATGTAAGACATATATGTCTCTTAGAAAAATAAAATGATTCATAAATATCGTTATTGTATCTTGTCATATTTTTAAAAGAATATCTTTTTGATGTAATTAATAAGTCGAAATGTGAAAGAGTGTTTGTACTCTAATTTATAGCACAATATATATGTTTGTATATTCTTTTTAAAGTATTTTTTTCTTACTTTTGGAAAAAAGAATTTTACAATTTTGCGTTGTATCACTTTGAGAAACTTGTACGCAGTAGAAAGTTATAAGAGCATTGATATTATGTTCTTTGTACATTGATAGCTCTCATACTTTTGCAGGATTTTGTTCTGCTAAAGGCTGAATACTGTTGATAGCATTATGAGATCGTCCTCCTTTTCGACCTCTGCCTTTTTTGTTCTGATTTAATCCAGATCTTTGCGGAACATTTTCTTGTTTGGCCGTTTGCGCTTCGATCATCGAGTCGGCTTCAGTTATTTCCGATGTCTATCGCGGTATAATGTTTATTCATGTATTTTTGCGTCTTGTATTAAAACGAACTTATTCATGCACCTATGTATAAAAAAATGATTTTAATTTTATTAAATTGCATATTGCACTAACTATACCTGCATGTTTGTGTTCTGCCGACCCTGCGATGTTTTATTCGGTTTATTATTTCTGGATGCCTGTGTGGTTGTATTATTCGAATGTGATATAAGATTCACTACATTTCCTACTGCTTTAGTACGACCCTCTCTAAACACCATTCTCTGTCCAGGTTTTATGTACTCAGGGTGTTTAATAAATCTAAAGTGCACTAAAGCTTTATCGCCTGTTCTCAAACAATCCTGGGACATGGACAATATAGAAGCAGTTTGTCTTATGCTGCCACAATGTACTGCAATAATTGTGACAATTGATATGTATATAATGAGGATACGTAATGTATACACGTTAATCAGTCAAGATAATTACCCATTGCCTGATAGCGTGAGCTAATTGTTGTAGGATGATGCAGTACCAAAATTTCACCCTCGAATTCCCAACAGGCTTGTGGATTAAGCGCAGGTGCGACCATTACCATGCCTTTACGAATGTGCGATCGTTTGATCTTTTTTAGGGCGAAACTAGCTGTTTGTCCACCTCTCACCTCGCGGACAGGCATTCTTTTTCGATGGATGCTTTTGACTGCTATAGGTGTGAAACGGCCTAGCGGATCAGGTCCTAATAGTAAAGTATCATTTAATTTTATAATACCTTTCAAAGTTGTACCAGACACCACTGTACCGACACCCTGAAATTTTTAATTTTAAATATCCATGTCGTACATATATATGGGAAGAGGGAGGAAGGGAAGACTGTCATGTAATATAATACATACTGGTACAGAGTATGTGTCATCAATTTGAAACTCAGCAGGTTCATCATCATGACTAGTAATTCTTGCAGTTAGCAAATTAAGAAACATCTTGAGAAGATTTAGATTTTCTCCGGATACGTTAGATACTTGAAAAATTGGACACAACCTGCAAACATAGCATTGAAGTATTTTATGATAACGTATCTATATTAATAATATACTAACCGTTCTGAAACAAAATTAGTAGCGCTGACTACCACATCATCAGATGTCTTTACTGTAACTGGGACTTTCCTACAGCCAGGCGATTTCAGGATCCTTATCAATAGCTTCAGATTTTCCTGTAAGACATTCGGTGGACACATATCGATTTTTGTTACAACAACGAATACCGGTACGGATAATGCTAAAGCAAGGCCCAAGTGTTCCTTAGTCATTCCTACAATACCGGCGTTTGCTCCGATCATCAGCATACCTGAAATAATCTTTGAGTTACGATTATGATGCATTCATGGAGCTTTTTTAAAATACACGATGCCAAGTGGCACCAATACAAAAAAAAGGCAATATTTTCGTCAATTTGTTTTATTATTGTCGTATTATTTGTTTTCAGATTTTCCATTTCGAATTGTTATAACAACAATATAATGTTACCAAAGTCTGGAGCATGTCCAGTCATTCCAAAGACAGTTGTCTTCAAATATCTCTCATGGCCGGCGAGATCGATGAATGTAATTACTTTCGAGGACTTTTCACATATTTTTACCCAATCTAGTGATCCATGTTCGGGTTTGTTAACTACGTTACCTGCAAATAATGATATGACAAGAGGTGATAAGTAATTATATTGAACGAGCAGCAAAAATATCTCAATACTAACCGACGCTATCGAATCCAAGTATATCATTCCCGACAGAACTAGTCCGTCCTGTTTCGGCTTCATGTTTATGACGAAATAATTTTTGACGTGCCAGGCCTCGTCCATTGTCGAGTTCGCCATGAGTCAGTACTCCTAATAACGTTGATTTACCAGCATCCACGTTACCAACGACAGCAACTCTATAAACAGTTAATAAAATATTCTATTATGGACAATTATTATTAATATATTACGCCAAATAACAATTCAAAGTGTTATATTATTAAATAAAAACCTGATCTCTAAGAAATCTTGCTGATCTAGACGTCTTCTCACTAGATACTGTCCCGTAAGACCATGATCCACTTTACTTTGCCGTAGAAGCACACAATCTGCTTCCAGTGTTGCAGCGAGAGACTGTAAAGTAGCAACCGATGCTTCATACTCATCTTCCTTTAAGCCATCCTCGGAACCATCTAAAAGCATAACAATTATTCAAGATTCAAAAATTTTCAGTTAACGTATTATAATTATACATATTGAGCGATTATACATACATCTTTCCCTTTTATCTCTTTGATACTTACCTTCAGCAATACCAATATCAAAAATTGTCTCGCTGCCTCCATCCTGAATCCTTTCATTCAACCTTCTCAACAATAGCTCATATTGATCCTCAGATGGGCTGACTAAGACATTCTAAAATGTAAAATAATCTGTATATATTCACAGCAATAGTTGTAAAGTATTTTGAATATAATATTTAATATAAATACGTATTTTTATATACCTTTCCTCTGATACTAGAATAGTCTACAGTTGGGACAAATCCATGTTCTTTCTCTGGCAGATGAGCAATGGCTTGCGATATGATAGACCCAGTTCCTGACATAATATCGAGCAATTGATACAAATGCTTCAAAACTAAATAATTGTTATTTGTTGATCTCTATTATTTGTCACAGCAAATCTTATTCAATTATTTATCTTTCTTGTATACAAGCATCCATTACAAGCATTTTCCAATATTTAAATCCAAATCTTCTTCCGCAAATTACTAGTATTTGCACATACATAACTGTGGCACTTGAAATTTGGATTACACTTTTGAGTGAAATCTAACACTCAGCCATTTTTCAAATCCAAATACCATTTTTATAATCTGCAACAAATACACATAGATAACAGTCACCCTTGAACTCAAAACTAACAAGTGATACAGGTTGCATCAGCTAATGTAATAAACTTACTGATTACGCTATTTTCTAACCTTATTTATTTTTTAAATTAAAATAGAACATATATATATGAAAAAAATAATTATGTATTTTAATTAATATAAAAATAGATAAACATACGTAAACACACACCTATTGTTATCACTTTGCACCCTACACATGTCACACCGTAAACGTCAGCCAATACATCGCGATTTTGCCAAGTAAACGGATTGTGTAACTTGTATCAAACGTCAACATATTGTTGTTCTTTAAAGCAATACATGCTAGAGAAAGTTAAAATATCCAAAACAAAATGCGAATTTAAAAAAGCATCGATGTATTCTTTTTAAAGCACACCCACATATACGAGTAAATATTCTTCCTTACGATAAAATGTGAATTGTATGCAAGATAACATTGACGGCTAAATAAATGTGTAAATGTTTTTTTTATCTCTTGGTATTGTTCATAATAAAAAAAAAAAGAATATTTACCTGTTAAAGAAAAGAGACGTCAGTCTCGGTCGAATTTGCAATATATTACGAGCGAAACTAGCAAAACTGTCAAATTAACAGCACTGCGCTTGCGAAAATACTGTCAACGATGCGTGGTGCATGCATGCGTATGTATGTGTGCGCGCGTGGTGTGAGTGTATGTACAGAGAGAAGCCAGGGCTGATCAACTCCCGTGTATTTTGTGGCTGCGTTCCGTAAAGCGCATATGTGCGCATGTACCTTAGTATACGTTACGTTTACTATAGATACTTGCGCGCATATGCATTTTACGGAACGCAGCCTGTATTAACCTAGAGACCCTCTAATAAGAGACTGGCCAACTTGACAGTTGCAACCATGTTTCAGCAAAATTCTGCGAGAGAGACAGGAATATATACACTAGAGAATCTCCTAGTCTGTCTCTCTCGCAGAATTTTGTCTGAAACATGGTTGCAACTGTCAAGTTGGCCAGTCTCTTATTAGAGAGTCTCTAGTCCAGACCGTTTAGACTCGGGCCGCCACTCTTGTCGACCCTTAATAGTTCTTGTCTCCGATAATACGCATTTATACGTACATACATACAAAAGTGGTGGGGGCGCACATGCGTACAAAAATCCGAGGTTGAAGCGCCAGACGTTCGTTGTATGCGCGATAAATTCCTACGAAGAGACGCAAATTGGACTCTCATTTCGGCATCGAGTTTCCCCGTGCGGTGTATATTTAGTTTTTGCAAAAATTGCTTTTTATTTCCCGAACACGATTTGCTATTTGAAATCTGCAATAATTACGCGACCAGTCACATTGCGGCACGAAGTTTTCGAGTTCCGGGCGTGAGAATTTTCGCGTACTCGTTTCGTGACTGCGCACAAATCGCGTTGTCCAATGAGAGCGGCCGAGTCGGCTGATAAATCTCGTCAGGGTGGAAATGGGCAGGGGACAGAAGCTCATACGCATTCGTGCTATCGAGTGCCGTGAGGAGTGTCACTCTCTCGAAGGGGGTCAGTGCGCGCCGTAGCGTTCCGCCTGCGCGCGAATCATTTCGCGATCGGAGTATCGTTCCGCCGGAATATTGAGGATGTGCAAATGTCGCGTAAACGGCGTATATTCGCTTGAGTAATGTTTCACGAGTGCATTTAATCTAATCGTGCACGTACGCATCGTGGAGCCCTAGAGAAAATGCTGGTGAGTAAACAGGCGGAAGGAGAAACGCAGTACACGATGTATAAGCAGCAGCTGCGGCGGCAACAACGAAGAAACCGCGGCAGCTGCTGCTGCTTGTACTCGTATACGTTTGTGTGCGTAAGTGCACATTTGTCCTTCGTGCTCTCTCGTATTTCTTCCGTAGAGTCCGTTATGACATACGTACTGTGCTAACGCATCCGCGCTTTTTCTGTGTTTCTCCTTGCGTCTCTTCTCCTCCCCTTCCCTCTTTCTTTCTCTTTTTCTACCTCGCGGAGACGAGTCCAGGTATGATATTCGTATCTGGGATCTCTTGCCGGGCTCAAAACGGCTTCGCACAGGCAAGGTCCGGCAATTCTGAAAAGTCGGAGAACTACTCTCTGCTCCCCTTTCCCCTCTTTCTCACACTAATACATCGAAAATACCGACGTTCGCGACAAACATTCACGCTTTCTATGCGCGCGAAAGGCGTCTGCATGAGAAGCCTGGAGCGTCACTGAAACGACCGTGGCTGCCAAACTGCTCGCACATTCAGCTCTCTTCTAATTTTGAACTATACTTTTTAAACTTACACCCTTCTTTTTCCGTGACTTTCTAAAGCACAAGGATGCTGTTTATTTTGTTTTAAGCGAAACAAATGTAAAATAGTGATTGGAAAGAATACATTTTATTGTAAATTTAATGGACAGATGGATGGATAAATTTATTTTATTTCTCTACTTTAGCTACTATTTGCAGGTATGACATTTGCGTGTCTTATTACTATTGAAATAAACAGGGCAATAAAATATAAGAGCTTATGTAAACAGATCTAAAGTAGAATTCAGATGGGCATGTGTACAATTATATATATCAGATTATTTAAAAAGTCTTTGTATTTTCAGTCTCTTTAATTTCAAAATCCATTGAACCTTTTGAATTAAAGTAATTGGATCAACATGTGTGTGTACTAGATTATAGATAAATTAGTAAAGCAATTCAAAGAAAGTATAAAAAAATTATATTGATTTTATGGCATCATATACTTATTGTTGCAACAAAATTTGTAAAAGGATATCCCATGACTTTTGAAACAATCTATTTTAATATTGATATGGTTCAGTTATATTCCTATATTATGAGAATATATTTGTTTTATTTTAGGAAGACAAAATAATATAAAATATCACATTACATTAATTAATGTTACATATATAATAAATTGGAGATTTCTTTATTTCAATATAAAAATATTCTCTCTGCTATAATAACTAGTATTCCAGCAAAGCAGGAGACAAAAAATTGTTTTATTTTTATAATTATTATTTGCTTGGTACTATTTTTTCCTCTGTTTGGTTCTTATATGATTTATTTAGCTACTTTATATGAAACAAAACTTGTTACTGTTTTGTATATCTTGGATTGTTATTAATATTATCTTGTTATTCTGTAGACAAAATCAATGCTTCTGTAAACTAAATATAAACTATAAACTATTATGATATATATATATATAGATAAAACTTTATTTTAGAAAAAACAAGTTTTTTTATATTTAACAATCATATGTTCCATAGTTTAAGTTGAAATCTAGTGTATGCAAACTAATACATATTTATTAAAATTAAAGAGAACAAAGTTATATATACAAAAGCAATAGATACTTGTATGTATTTTGAATTATTTGTAATTATTTGAATTGGTGCTTCTTAAACCTATTTAAACTTTTATTACAATATTTTATATAGAATCATTATAATTATGTTATTGAGCATTGTATGATGTCAATTTTTTTATTACAGGGAGACGATCCACCGTCCCTATCGGTAGGGACGGAAGTTAGTGCTAAATATAAGGGTGCCTTTTGCGAAGCAAAGATTCGTAAAGTGGTGCGATCGGTAAAGTGTCGCGTAACGTACAAACCACAAGGTTTGGGAACCGCTACGGTCGCCGATGATCAGATAAAAGGGACTTTAAGAGTGGGCGCGTCCGTCGAAGCTAGACATGCGGATCGGAAGGAGTTTGTGGAAGCTACGATTAACAAGATTCAGGACTGCAGTCAGTATACTGTAGTGTTTGACGATGGGGATATCACAACGTTAAGGAGAAGCGCGCTTTGTCTGAAGAGCGGACGGCATTTCGCGGAGAGTGAAACGTTGGACCAACTCCCCTTGACTCATCCGGAACACTTTGGAAACCCTGTAATTGGGGGCAGAAGGGGCAGACGATCAAGGCAAGCACAGTAAGTGCGGTACACAGATCTCTTCATAAAGACTTTAAAACTGTCTAACGCTAGCTGCAAAATTTTTATAAGGGATGAGAGCAGCGAAGATGAGGACAGTCCGCCACGGGGCACTCGTGATTCCGCTTCCAGCGGTGGTACAAAGGAGGGGATGGAAACTGAACCGGAGATCGGCAGAGTCGTCTGCGTGGAACTTGGCGATAAGAAGAAGAAGGATAATTGGTTTCCGGGATTGGTGGTTGCTCCTACCGCTCAAGACACAGTAAGAATACGAGTGAGGGACGACTACTTGGTACGCTCGTTTAAGGATGCGAGATAGTAAGTGAACAATCCTTGTTCAATCAGTCGTTACTATATTATTGTAGACATGTATATTTATATGTATATTGTTTTTGCCAGTTACACAGTACCTAAGAAGGAAGCCACGGAATTCACAAAAGACTTGGTTAATAAAGTGGAGAACAGTACTCTGAAGGTTGCGGTAGAGAAGGCACTTTTATTCTTGGAGAAAAATGAATTGCCACCTCACTGGGACAAAGATTCTCTTTTCGGGCACTCTGTTTCTAGCGGAAATAGCGATTCCGATGGAGAACTTGATTCTGATGTAAGATCTTTTGCTCACTTTATGCTTTTTTCCATTTTTCGTTGCACACAATTATTACACAGATAACTACGGTTTTCTTCTTACAGAGTTCGGACGATGAGCCGCGTGAGGAAAAAGATCATTTTGTGGCTCAGTTGTATAAATTTATGGATGACCGTGGAACACCAATAAATGTCTGCCCGATGATCGGATCCGAAGATATAGATTTGTACAGGCTTTTTCGGGCGGTCTATAAATTAGGCGGCTACAATCGTGTCACGAACCAGAATCAATGGAAAATCATAACACGGCGACTTAATTTCTCGATGCAAAATTCGGGACCTATGCACAATCTTGTAAAGCAAGCTTATAAGAAATTCTTACACTCCTTTGAGGATTTTTATAGAAAGTTAGGCTGCACCATGGTGAATCATCCGCGAGGTAGCACGCGTAAACAACGTCCTGGGAGAAGTTTGATCCGCGACAAAGACAGAAATACTCCTATTCCGCCGCAAGCACCGGCACAAGTAAAAAACGAGAAGGATGAGGAGGAGAAGAAAGTCGTTGCGGAAGAAGAGAAGAAAGAGAAGAAGGAGATTAAGAAGGATCAGGTGAAAGAGGAGGAAAGTGTGAAAGTGAAAAAGAAAGAAGAAAATGAAGGAAATGGTAGCGGGCAAGAGAGCGATGTAAATATAGAAGGAGATGTTGAACCGTTGTCTAATAACGAGAAACCACAAAAACCAACCACACAAAATTCCACATTAGCTGTTGCTTCTAGCGGCACTGCAACCGCGTCGTCCAATCGAGGAAAGTCAAAGAGTAAAGAAGACACGAAGAAGAAGGCGGTTGAGAAGAAGAAAGTGGAGATCAAGAAGCAAGAGAAGAAAGACGATAAACTTAAGGAGGAAGAGGCTACGAAGACGAGATCCAAAGCGAAAGATGACACCGTGAGGAACAAGAGTGCTTCCGAAGGAAGGGAAACTCGAACACCGTCCAGAGAAGCGGAAAAGAAAACGGTGTCCAAGCAAAGACGCTTAACGGATGAGGAACTGAAGAAACGAGGGAGAAAACGCAAGGAGCACGAGACGGAGAAATCGCGCGCGGACGAACAGCTTACGGAGACCGCTCCGTGCTACAAAGGTCCTGTGGAGTGCGGCGATAAATTGAAGGTGTATTACGGCCCGACACACGAATCCAAAGTCACTTACGAAGCGAAGGTCATTGAAATAGAGAAAGAAGGCCCGGAACCAATGTATCTCGTGCACTACACAGGCTGGAATAACAGATACGACGAGTGGATTAAAGCTTCCAGGATCGCGCAGAATTTCACGCAGACTCAAGGCAGAGTGAAGCGTGTCAAGGCCACTCCTCGGCCTCAGACTCCCAGCACGAACTCGTCCAACAACGTCAACAATAATAAATCGAAAAGTGCTTCTAATTCGAGCGCTCATGCGTCGCAAAGCCGTCGCCGAGCGCAGAGCGTCGCCCCTACTTCCACCAGCGGCGGTCAGTCGACGTCGATATCCGCGAAAGACATTAAGAAGGAAGAAAAGGAGAAAGACAAGGAAACGACGCAACCGACTAGATCCACCACGCCACTGTCCATTGCCAGTTCCAGTTCCAGAACCAAGAGTCCTGCCACGCCTGCGAACAATCGGCAAACCAGGACAACCAGAAACGCAGAATTGTCGGGTGTGGAACATCGTAGGCGTACCAGGAGAACGTCAGGGCATACAGATATATCCGTTGCGTCGGAAACCGAGGACAGCGAGGACTACGAGTCCGATATCGCCGAGCAAACCGAAGCCGATCAAGCGAAGACAAGATTGAGAGGCACCGAGGAGAGAAAACGGAAGGAGGCGCGAAGCAGAGCGGAAGAGAGAATTAAAGCGGAGGACGTGAGCGACGGCGACGACGATAAGGACAATTTGGATGAGCCGCGTAAAGGTAGACGTTTGAGAAGGACGCCTGGGAAATCCCAAGGCATCAAGTCCGAACCCGATAGCGACCAAGAGGAACAACCGAAAGGTCGAGACTTCGATCTCAACCAGATACGATCCGAGCTGAAAGGTTTCGACAAAGCGGTGAAGTTGGAGTTGGTTAGTGTGGAGCCTGAGTTCAAGGCTGACACCAAGCCGGACGATAAGGAAAGCACGGCCGCGATTGTAGCGTCACCCAAGTTGGAAAAGACCGTGGAACCTCCAAAAGTGGAGACTGTCATTGAGACGAAGGTCGAAAGTACAGAGGACATATATGAGTTTAAGGAACCGGAACCGTTCGAGTTCGAGGTGAGAAATAAGAGAGACACTAATGAAAAAGACAAGTTGAAGAAGAGAATGTTTGAGGAGGAGCCTAAGAGTCCGAAGAAGAAGCAGAGAGCGGCGCTGGTGTCGGCGCCGATAGCGAAGGAGACGAAATCGGAGCCGCCGGAGAACGACGGTCGGAAGAAGCCGCGAAAGTTGTTCAGCAAGCGATCCGACGACGCGAACGAAGCGACGGCGGTAGCTCCATTCAGTAAATCCTTGCAAACCGCGCCGTCTGTTGCGTGCGAGGAGGCTTTCGATAAATTGTGCGAATCCCCGTCGTTCAACAATCAATTGAAACCTGTGTCCGTTGCAGAAGAGACTACCAACAAGACATCAAGCGGCTTGAATCTCTTGTTCAGCGATTTACCGTCAGCGGACGACGAAGGTACGCGAGATGATTCGGAGGACCGTCTGATAATCTCGGAGACCGAGGTATCGGAGGCGGAGCAGGAGCACGCGTTCACGTCGTACCAGCAGGAGATTCAGTTTCACAGTGGCGAGCTGACGGGCACGGCGGAGACGACGAACAAGAGTGAAGCGAGCGTCGCGGTTGAATGCGCGAGAGAAGAGGCATCGGCGGCCAGTACGAGTAGCGGAAACAAATCGACCAATACTCTGGATCACAAACAGAACCAAGTGAAGTCGGTGCCTGTCGCAGTCGGGCAATCGCAGTCGGAACTGAGAATACTGGACACCAAGTTACTCGATATCGCTCCGGTGCCGTCGCCAATCGTGATCCCACCGGCACCGATAAGCGCGAGACTGCCGGCAACGTCCACGATAGAGGAGAAGCTGTCCGCCGCCGCGATGGCGTTCCGCAACAAGTCTAAAGATACGAAGAGGACTTTGGACGAGGACGTGTCCGACAATATTGTGCGCAAAGTGATCAAAGAGACGAAGAAATTTGACGCTGTTCTGCAACAGAGAAGCAAAGACGCGGATCGCAGTGTTCTCGCAGTCGAAGTGGACGACGTGAAGCGCGAGCACGACGAAATCGCGATTAAGGAAGAGGATCAGCGTAGAGAGATTATACGCGTGGCGATTAAACATAAAGAAGAAGAGCTGCAGCAATTGAAGCCGAAAAAGGAGGCGGAATTGAAGAAGTTTTCGGAGACCAAGACCGTCGCCGAGCAAAAGACCGGCAAGTTGCACGAGGTCGTGAAAGACGAAAGCTGTCGCGAGAGCTGTAGGAAGAGCGCAGAGAGCGAAAGTGGTAAAAAATCTGAAGAGGAGTATAAAGCGATCGATCAGAGCGAGAAAGATAGAATTGAAAATCGTAAGAAACAAGTCAATCAGGACATCATCGACTCCACGGACAGCAGCGATTCAGAGCAGAGGCTTGTGATAGACAACGAGGAACCGCAGGACGTTAAACCGCCGACGTCCAATTTCGACGCAAAGTTAAGAGCGGAATTGGATCGCCTGCAGGACACGCAGGAGAGATATGCAAGGACACAAGTGTCGAAAACTTTGCAGAGTGTTCAGCAGCAGCAGCAGCAAGAATGCACGGAGTTTAAGGCTGACGTAACACCAGTTTCGAAAACAGACGAAGAGGGTGAAACGATGAATTCGCTATTGTGCGAAGAGGAGATTCCTGGCTCTCCGGCACCACCGCCTGAGAGTATCGAGCAAGCCAATATCGGCCCTTCGCACAGCCCGCCGAAGAATGAGGCCTCGGAGAGCAGTATAGTGCTGATGGAGATGCCGTTCGCAAGTGCGACCACTTCCGGTCAAAGTACGACGAGCAGCAGTACCGTCGCTAGTACCCTCAGCATGGCGTTGCCGAAGACCGTCGAGACGTCGATACCGGTTTCTTTGCCGGTGCAACAGAACGCACCCTTGAACATGCGCCCGCAGCAGCAGCAACAGCAACAGCAACAGCATCAGCACGTCGTTGCAGCGGCATTAGAGCAGCCGGCGCAACGACGAGAGAGCAACGAGGCTGCACCGGTAATGGACAACACACCGCCGACCACGCCCGATTCGAGCATTTCCAACATTTCGGGCTCGCCTAGAGAAGAAAGGACCGGTGGCTCGTCGCCTACTTCCGAGGACAACGTCAAGCTCAACCGCGACAGCTCGGAGGCGGACAACGACAGCGCCGGCAAGGGCCCGGGCTTCAGCGAAGACGACACTCTGCCCAACTCGGAGAGCAATCTGGCGGACAGGATTCTCAAGCCGCCCGCTAAACGCTCGATCGACGACATGCAGTCGCCTAAGAAGCGCAAGAGAAACAGAAAGCACTCGGAGTGCGGTAGCGGTAGTGGTGCCATACCGAAGAAGGCTGGTAGGCAGCAAAACGGTAGGCACGGTAGATACGGCGTCGGAAGCGACAGCGACGACACCAGCGAGGGCTCGAATCTTTGCAATATAAACGCCGCGCCGACGACTCAAGCGAACGTCATCACCAGCGTCGCTGATCTCAATGCCTACTCGTCGAGATCGCCGAGGCCGACCAAGTATAATTTTTACGTCGAATTAGGTACGTTGAATATATCTCTCATTTGTTCGTACATTTGCTGTGACAAAATACATTATATTAAACATGAAATCGGAATCCTCACTCTCGCCCGATGAGTTTTACAAGTGTGTTATCTCCTTATCATTATATTAAATCTTCACAGATCCCGAACTGGACGGTAGTCAGAGGATAGCAGTACTGCAGCAGAAATTGAGCGACTTGCGAAAGACTTACAATGCCGTGAAGGTTGAGCTCGCTGCTATAGAAAGACGTCGGAAAAAGTTACGAAGGCGAGAACGAGATGGTAAGCGTTTGATCCATGTGTCGCCTGATGTCTCCCGTTATTAATTTCACATTTTTACTTTGTGCAAGTAATATATAATATTAACTATAATAATTATTAGCAATTATAATTGCTCATTTTCTGCTAATTATTAAATATGATTATTTTATTAAATTTATGCACACACATAGTTACACTTATTTCAGAAAATGCATGTGCTAATATGAAAAATGAAATATATTATAGATTGTATATATTTTACGTAATACTTTTACAATCAATGAATTAGTTGCGTAGAATATTAATATAAAAATGTTTTGTTTACAGCAATGAAAGCAGCTAAAGCAGAAATGCAGCAAGCTTGTTCGTGATAGACAGTGCTGAAGAATCATTATTCCTTCTTCGAGTACTAAATGGGACTTTTTCGTATTCGGTATACACTGGCGATCAAGAATGCTTTGATAAATGAAATTACATCCATTTCAGGCAATTTGGAGCGTACGCATCGTCAGGTATTTGTGCATCAGAACTCTCGCGTCTGACAATTTAGCATCTTCACGTTTGACATTTTTAGTCGCCAGTGTACAAAAATATTAAAATAGCATCGTTAACACGGGCATCATGCAATCACGGCAAACTTCATGACAATTTTTACCTATAAAATATTGTTTAGGTGACATCTATGCTTTGCACTCTTTCTTTATATTAATAAATTGTAGATATAGCCATAAGTATGTAAGAGATATACTTTAATCAAGCTAATACATTTATATATATATATAAATTGTTTCGTCAAGATCAATAATCTAATTGTTAAAAATTTGTATACCCGATTTGTTACTTTACCCGCTTAAATGTAAAGTACAAATTATCGAATTAATCATTTTTCATCATTTGTTTTTCTCTTTTTCTTCATTACAAAAAAGGCTGGTAAAGTGTTATTAGGAGAATCCGTTATTGTAAAGACATGTTGGGAACAAATAATTATCTAAGCTGGTTATTTTATTTTTGTGTCTCGAATACAAGGTATACCAGCTGCGGTTGAGCTGTTTTCACAAGCGTTAAAAAGACAAAAGGCGTAAGAAGAATACCAGTAATCACATAACGGCATCGTACGAATATTGCGCCTTTATAATGTAGAAAAAGTGTAAATATTAGGCATTAGTGGAGCGATGAAGTATTGGCATACTGCACCATTGCGCGTGTGTATGTACATTATAGAGAAAAAAAATATTCTCTATTAAATATATATATATATATATTTTTCATAGAGAATATTCTATCTATACACGTGCGCGCTTGTGTGTGAGTGTATGTGTGTGTGTGGTGTCACAATTTCTTGCAATTTTGGAGATTGCAAGCTTAATATTATATATGGCAATGTTTATTTGTACGATGGAATGTAAGCGAAGAAGCGTTTGTACATTAATACGCATGTGACATAGAGAGCGCGATTGCTAAATAAAGAACCAAAAAATTAAATTGCTACTTTTAATTTATGTATATAGTCTCGCGCATATAAGATGCTATTATTTAAAAACGGGGGCGCGCGCGCGCGCGCGCGTGCATGTGTGTATTCACATATCTGCCACGTGTAAATGGATATGTCGCTCTCGATAAGAATGTAAGACGGTATTGTTCTTTATTCTTTTTGTGTTCCGTTTCTCACGTCTGTGCGACAATTCATCGTGAATTCAGCTCAACAATACCATCAGTTTATTGATTGCTAAGTTATATTTTGCTGCTATCGTGCGCGCTTTATTTCTTCATTTAATAGTTATTATAATATATACTCATCAGTATCGTATGTCACTTGTCAGAGATGCATTTATATTTGTATTTCGATATGTCGAAGAATGCTCCAAGTCTTAAAAAATTAGGAAAATGTAAAATGGATGGAAGCTTAATTTTAAGGAACACATTGCAAAAATGTGAATCAAATGTCGCTATATGAAAATAAATTTATAACAAAATACAAAGCTGGCTAAAAAGGAATAAATTTACATATATACTATATATAGTGGTTGCTCCTACATTTTTATTTATACATATATATATATATATATATATATAAAACTTACGTAAGTCTTGGATGTGTCGACATGTATTGAAAGGTAGAAGAAAAGAAATCATTCACAAGTTATACTTAAAATCTGATATATATTATTTGTTATCGTGGCTTACAAACAAATATGAACAGATTAAGAGATTAAGAGTATGTGTAAAACGTACGCAACCTACTCTCATGTTAATATAGAATAATATAATTATACAAATATCCATGTTATTGTACTTTGCAATTATTTATATTAGAATAATAAGAGCTATCTGTTTCCTCAATCATAAATTATTTGGGATTAATTAACATAATGCACGCATTAATGACACGCACGATATTAACATACAATATCTCATCTATCACCTGTTCTGTGTATCAACATAATGGATAACAAAAAAATTTCGTAATGAAAATCAATGACTAAAAAAATACATGACTCATTTCTTTGTACGCATTATAAGTTAGTTCTCGTATTTTAATTTTACGCTCTAATTTTCTATGGCTAAATTATACAATACGCGATATACACATACATAAACGCACGCACGCACGCACACGCACACGCACGCGCTACACACACACACACACACACACACACACACACATCGTTTCTAGATATTATATATATTGATTTATCTTTGTACATCAGTAGATTGATGCATTTAAGATACAACAGTGTATATAATTAGAATTAAAGAATATTATATAAAACATTTTTCTAAAGAAAAAATATGTAAAATTCATAAAATAATACATATAATATATGACTAAGAGATGTAACGAGTATCCGAGATAACAAAAAAAATTATGTGATCAAATATTAATATGAGCAAAGAAACATGTGACAAAATTATCAATAACAGATATAATATAACATATAATGAGATATAAAATTTTAATTTAGTAAATAAATTTAGTTGGACTTAATTTTTTCAATTTTTTTACAATCTATTATTACACATTGTTATAATTTAATCATGAGAACTTGATTTCATCATTTTAGTTGAATTTTCATCGCTTTCTTTACTCATGGGGTCTTCAATATCACTGAAAATTTGATATAATTATTAATAACTTGGAATAATAAAAATTATATTTAATATATCGAAACGCGTGTAATTGATCAACATTCATTTTTGTTATTTCTTAGTTTACAAATTAAATTTTGCATTTAGTTTGTAATAACACAAAGATGCTATTACATTATTGTGTATCTTACATGTTGAGAACTTTTTTAATAATTCTAAAATAACAGCAGATTATTATATCTTACTTGATACATTTTGATTATTATTATCTGATGCTCATAAGAAATTGAGCAGGAAGATCCGTACAAAATTGGTTATTGAGATTACAAGAAGATACTTTGAATGCTAACAGATACCCGATATACATCTCTAATATACATATATTTGATTACTTCAATATATACATATACATACATATATATATATATATATATATATATATATATATATATATATATATATATTATATTATTA